AGTGGTGGAGTCCCCATCCCTGGAAGTATTTAAAAGACGTGTAGATGAGGCGCTTAGGGACATGGTTTAGTGGGCATAGTGGTGTTGGGTCAATGGTTGGACTCGATGATCTTAGAGGTCTTTTCCAACCTTAATGATTCTATGATTCTATGAAATTTTATTCATCATTCACATATCAGTTAAAAAATCTGAAAATAATATGGAGTTAACCAAGTGGACCCTATATATTTCCACTCTGGGAAATGCTCAGTTTAATAAATAGCTGATTACAGGCATGAAAATGAATAAATAAAAAACCTTCAAAACTTTTTTATAATTATGAAAATGTATGTTTTAATGATCATTGTTACTCATATCAGTAAATTAAAGCAAATAAAATTAATGTCATCAATAAATAAAATAATGTAAATATGTTAAGCTTTCATATAAACAGAAATAGAACAATTAATTTCTTCATCAAATATTTAAATATTTTTCCCCGAGGAAAGTGTATAACAAAATACAGAGATTTGTTAGTCTCTTTTTATGAATAGTATATTCAATAGAAATCTATTCTATGTTTCTGAATGTTTCTCCAGGATTTATTACATAGACTTTCCCCCAGAAACTGATTTAATGTTTTCAGTATAGAAAAAGATCAAGGACAATAAATTGCGAGAGGCAGTCTGTAACCTTGGAAACACAAGAGTCATGGTTTTTGTCTTTGACTATTACTTTATTTTAAAAGACTGAAGTGATTTTTTTTTCATATTTTTTTCACCATAAAATCTTGTGAAACATTAATTTGTTTCTAAGACTTCTACAACAGAATTACGTCAGGAGCTCTCTGTTGTTTTGGGTTTTTTTATTTTTTCAACTTGAACATTATTTCTTCTCACGAGCTATGGAGAACAAGAATACTGATGCAGAACTCAATTTCCCACTACATTCAGTGAAAGATCAAACCAAGATCATTACATTGATATGATTACTCACACAGTACTGCATTGTTATTTAGGTATTCTGCAAAAAAAAAGTTAAGTTCAGGAAGGAGGGCAGTTGTATTAAATGTTCTAATTCTCTTTGCCATCTACTGTCTCCTAAGATTCAATAGTCATAAAGTACTATCCGTCTCCTTGTAATAAAAGAAGCAGGAACAGAAAAAGAAAGACAAAAAGGGCTGTGAAGACTATCAAGTTCTCTTCTATATCTAATATCTAATTAGGTTCAAAACTAACTAGTTTTAGGTTCTGTTGTTGATACTTATATTTGTATTTATTCCACCTTTCATAAATTTTTCAAATTACACATAACTGGAATGAAGATTGAGTTGTCTAACACAATGATTAAATGAAACAATTTGAGTAACACTTTTTAAAATATAACTTGTATTTTTAAACAAAATACTTGGAATTCATTAATGTCATCTAAGTGTACTCTTAAGGCATCTTCAGCACTTAAAATAGAAATACAGTGGTAGCTGCTTGAGTCTAAGCATAACTTTTCAGCAAGTAAAAGTGGAAAGGCTCTAAGATAAATGATAAAAAAGGTTTATGGCTGTGAGCAGAAAAGTTTTAGAAGTTAAAAGTGAAATTTAATTTTTTTTCTTACTATTTTTCAGTGATTGAAAACAAACACCAGAATTTATTCATAAGTTGCACAAAAATGTATTTCTGGGATCATTACAATACCCGCTCTGTAGATCTTCCTGCTGTATTTTATCTCCTTTCTCCCACATTCTATCATTTCTTTCATTTCCTCCATTTCCTCCACCTTCTGACAACATTTTCTTTCTCAACCTTCTTAAACAAATTTCTGACTTTTGATTTGCCATTAGCTGAACCCATCCCTCTATCTTAAGTCTCAAATTACTTGTTGAAGAAAGAAGAATTGAACTGAGTTAGTCTGAGTCTTTCCAGAAATCTCATTCCTGCACAGTGATGTAGCACAGCAGGCAGTGTTGCTGCTAGAGCAATTATGGTAGCCATTACTCTCTCCCTTTTTTAAATTTGCTCTGTCACTGGCTTTTCTTTTTTGTTTTGTTTTGGTTTTGTTTTCTTTTTAAGAAGCTATACATGTTTTTCTGTATGCTATATATGATGTATACTACATTCTATTTCTGTAAGTGAAACTTTTATTCATGCTCTCTTCAACAATTTGTCATCATTAAAGCTTTGAAGATATACATTTGAAGATTTACTGTAGTCCTATTAGTATGATACAAAAGGTATCTTTTTGATTACTGTTTTCCCCTCTAGTCATATAGTTGTTTTAACACATTTTCTTAACTGTTTATTGTTACTGTGCATTACAGTATATGAACTTAATAATAATGAATCTCTTCTGAGAAGTAAAAAAAGTTTTGTTTCATCTGAAAACTGATTACTTTAGGGTCTTATTTTAAGTTTCAAGTAAAGATATGCAACCTATTACCATTATTAAGATTATATTACATTTTTATTTCTACAGGCAAATGTAGGAGAAATTAAATTAATTCTGTGTTGATCTTTACTTGGCATAAATTTATTTTGGCAAGATTCTTCAACGCAAGTATTTTTCCAAGGTGCTATTGACAAACAGCAGACAATTTGGCTGGTTTTAGATTAATATTTCTCTGATGAAAATTTTTGTATTTCTCCAAAGTTCAATAGCTGTAACCTTTGCAGACAAACCAGTAAAAATGAAAAAAAAAAGTCAGAACATTTTGATTACACACATACTATGGTGCCCCCAAACTTTTAGATTTAAAACAGTCTGTCTTACCATTTCTGACAACTTAGAAGAAAAAGAAAATCAAACATGAAGATCTTTTCTTTTTTTCCCCCTTTGCTAAATGGTTTTCATTGTAAAAGTGAAACATAAACAAAGCCTGTCTGTTCCCCTCAGCTATATGTCAGGAAACATTCCAGCTTCAGACTTGTAGCTCAATAAGAAACACTTTTGCTCATTCATGAGCCATTCAAATTAAGCTTAATTGAAGATTTGTATCAAATAATGCTGTATTATTTGCAGAATACAAAAGGAGAAGGAAACACAAAATACAAAAGCAGAAGGAAAATTATTTGGGATGGAAAGTAGTCTAAAAAGGTAAATGGCAATCTGCACAAAGATATATTGCAACAAACCCCTATATTTAATGTATCTACTAGTTCAGATTCTTCTGAAAGTCTCAGTTTATTAATATTCTTTTATATTCTTTTATATTCTCATGCCCCCACAAGGTACAATACGACTTTCATATTGCATACTAAAATCAGAACACTATCATAGCTTTGATTTCAACTGAAACTAAAACATTAATTGCATATAGAGTTAAAATCAATGTCTCTACAGTTAACACAATAACCCAGATCAAGGTACACATGATAATAATGAATTAAAAAGAAGCCCTGAAATTGTTTTACTGAGATCACATGTTCATTTTACTCATAAACTATTCAGGGACTGGTGTCTGAGTATTTTAAATAAGTGAAGATGCCTAAACATGTACAGCTAAAGAGTGTCAAATTCCATAAATTGTGACTGGATAGTGATTTTCTATCAGAAATAACGTTGCAGTGCTCCTGCCAAAGTTTCCACAAACATCTTTTTTTTTTTTCCCCTGTATCTTTTGCAAATGTACAAATTCTGTAACATAACCATTGAGTTCAGGTCTACTATGCAGATATTTTACTGAGGATATGTATAATAGCTGACACATCTGGAATCAATCAGTCTTGCTGTTTATGTATAGGTCTACTTTAGAGACATATGCAGCAATCCAGTGACACAGGTTTTGCATGTTGGGAAGGTATTGAAAAAGGGAATCAATCTGTGGAAAGGTAACCATAGTTATAATTTGATAAGGAAAACAACCCAGCCACACACATTTTTAAAATGCAGAACTCTCTTCAATGTCTGTGCTAACAGAAAGAGGCAAGCTGATTCGATTTGCTTACTTTTGTCTGCTAGAGAGAAAGAAAATAGATAAGCTGTGACAGTAGTATCCATACCTAAACATCTGGTCTCAATTCCACTCCAGAGTCCAGAAGACAGACATTCCCTCACGGCAGAGCCAACTAGCATGTATCCTGAGTCACAAGTAAATATAGCTGTAGATCCATATGTGATTTGAGTTCCAATCTTATTCCCATTTGGAGGTGTAGGAAATTCTCCACAGGAAATAACTTTATGGCAAAACCAAAACAAAACAGAAATGTACAGCTGAGTATCACAAACAAACATACAATAACACTTATCAACCAGTAATACTTATCAACCAGTCAACCAGATAAACAAATTTCACAGCTTGAAGTATTTTGCTCTGTAGAAAAAATAGATGAAAAACTCTGCATACAAAGACTATTACTTCCCCAAATATAATACTTAAAAAAGAAGGGGGGTGTGACACCAATTAAAATTGTCTCTGTAAAGTTAAAAAACCTCACCATTCAGAACATTTTTAAATGCTATTTAATTAACTTGGTTTTATCATTTACTTTTTCTTAATATTGGAATATCACAATTGTTGCCATTTTAAAAATTATTTTTATGTTTCTTTGGAAAGATGTCATTTTTATCTTCTATTTCATAATGAAATGCTTGCCCTAGCATTCACACAATACGTTGTTATAATGAGTGAACCATGTGCATGGAATTCCTTGCTATTTATTTACAATTCAAAACGTTTTCATTCAAAATCATATTTCTTTAATAATTTTCTTTTAAGAATTAGTAAAAGAACTTTAGTATTAGTAAACAAGATGGTGGATTATCGAAGGGTGAAAGCATCTAGTGCACTTTATGCTAAAAAAAAATGTAAATGGTAATATTGCAAACAAAACTTCCCAAAACAGTGAAAAATGTTTGCCTTTTAAAGAAGAAAGGGTTACAAGTACATATATAGTATGTAAAATACCTATATACACTATATAGGTGTGTATATTTATAGTATATATATATTACCTATAGAGATATAGATACAGACATATACACAATATTTTTAACACTAGCAGAGGTGAAATATTGCAACTAACTTTTAAAAATCCTCTAAATTATAAATGAAATTTCCAGTAGGTTATAAAGATCTCAAAATGAAGGTTCATTTCCAGTATAATTAATCTGTCTTTGGAATTGCATTTTTCAGCTACTTTTTTATTAGTTTCCAATATATTAAAACTGGAACAAGTTGCCCAGAGAGGTGGTGGATGCCCCATCCCTGGAAACATTCAAGGTCAGGTTGGACGGGGCTCTGAGCAACCTGATCTAGTTGAAGATGTCCCTACCCACGGCAGGGGGGTTGGACTAGGTGACCTTTAGAGGTCCCTTCCAACCCAAACTATTCTATGATTCTATTCTATGATTCTGTAATATTCTCAATAAATTCTAAATATATTCTAAATCACAGTTATCTGGCTTATCTACACATTTTTTTTCTGCTTTTTACATATGTGTGGATTTATACACATACATGCAGATACACACAGTTTAGATACATGTACCAAAACCACAGTCATATCCCATTCTATCAGAGTGTATGTCATGTGTTCACAAAGAGGAAGAATTTTGGGGCTTCAAAGTATACCCAAAATCCCACAATTTTGAAAAACAGGTGACTAAATTTAAATATTTAAAGAAACCTGCTTTTCACAGGGGTGGAGGAGGGGAGCATAACTGTAGCCACACATTTAGCTTGCTTAAAGTATCTGAATATTCATTACTTATTTTTTTGAAAAGTAGCTATTGCAGGTTATCAGGATACCAGCTAATGGTAGGAATGATGTGGACTTGCACACTATATGGTAACCAGCTGAAAGGAGAGATTATTTTATTTATCAAGTGTGCAGACAGGATACAAAGTTTTTGCATTTTTCTAGACTATACAGCATTCTTGACCTTGAAAAATATATAGGAAAATGTTCTCTATTACTTATTTGTACCTTTATACATTTAGGGACCTTTAAAATCCAGAAGTGTGCTTACAGATATTTCCTTGTCACTAAACCTAATGGATTGTATTTGTAAATAATAGCCTTTAGGATACCCAGGAATTCCAGCGAGGAAACATTTTTCTAATTTTCTGATTCCAATATTTAATTAGTTAATTTCTAATTCAGCCAAATAAAATATTTTTATCTGAAGTCTGTACAGCAGGTGCAGATACAACATGTACTCACTTTGGCAGTAAGGCCGCTCATTTCTCCAACTCCATGTGCCATTAGCAAGACACTCGATAGATGCTGGTCCCAAACCATAATACCCTGGATCACAGCTGAAAACTACTTTTGTTTTATACTCATAATGTGAACCATTCACTATTCTCCATCTTCCATGTTCCAGTGTAAAAGAATTGATGCTTGGACATGTAACAACTTCCAGAATAACAAAAACATATAGTTATTTGTGGCTTAGTACAGGCAAATTAGGAAAATCTGTACCATTATTAATTCAGAAATATATTTTAAACACAGTGACATAATGTTTGAAGAGTAAGGCTGTATTTGAAATTGCCTGTGGTTAGCAGGCACTAGTTCTCTCATTTAATTAATAATGATCAATGACCCAGACAGAGTAGTAACTGTGTATGCAGAGCTATGCAATTGGTGTAGATAGAATCTACACCATGGTTGAATTCACCATAGATTGATAGTCATGGAACTCCTGTGACACTTTACATCAGACATCAGAATCTTTACTAAAACATTAGCTACATTTCAATATAGGAATTATTTTTACACCCAGGTAAATTCTGTGAGATCTTAAAGACTCATTTGGAGAGGCTGCAACATTGGTGACAGACAAAATAATATCCATATCCAAGATGGTTTTTCAGCAGCTACACATTTTTATCTCATTTCTTATTTCTATGTGTTCTTCCTCCAAAAACCAAACAAAAACATTCTACAACCCTAATCTAATAGAAAAAGGTTAACAAGCATAACAATTTTTTCCACGACCAAAAGGCACAGAGGAAAATCTTTGCTGGATGCTACTTTCTTTCTCTCCATTAAGATTGGTTCTTTAGATAGAGGAAAAGGCATGAGAGAATGCAATTTACAAGAACAAGAAAAAGAAAAAAAAAGGAAAAAGGGAAAATCCTTGAAAATTATTCTAGGGTATGTTTTCTTTCCTTTGCAAAATTCATTGGGTGAGATAATGCAGCTCTTAATGTGCATCAGACACTCTGACATTTCTGTATCAGTTTTACAATCACCCAGGGTTTCATACCCCATTTATAACTTTGATGGTATCCATGTCTCTTTGGGACTGAACATGCATTTTCTCTTCAGTGAAGTTCCCCCAAGTTTAGATGGTGTAGGATTATAGTGATGGGCTGAATACAAATAATAAGCAGCGGTTTCAAACAAGTATCCCAGAGTACCAGAGACTTTGCAATTCTGGATAGTAAATAGGGTTTGTTAACAGTATATGAACTGTGCAGCTCTCACTGAAGAGATGGCTTTTGTATAAACCTCTGCAACCATTAACTTTGATTTAGCTGCCAATTAATTATCAGTTTGAATATATTCTATAATCTCTAGTGTATTTTTTCTGCTGTCACAGAATGTTTCAATATATGTCTCAGATATATATTTTTCAACTATGTATTTCACAATAATTTAATACCAGCAATTATTCATAGGTCAAAGTAACCTCAAGCTGAAAATTTAAGATTTGTGCCTTGGATAAATAAACAAAATGTACAGCCAGGTTCTTACTCACTGGAGAGTTTTTACATGTCACTTACCTACACAGCGAGGTGTTTTGTTGTGATTGCTCCAGGTACCATCCGGCTGGCAGACTGCAGTAGTAAGTTCCTTGGCTGATAGTCTATATCCATCATTGCAAAAATAAGTAACGCGGGTGCCAACTAAGTAATCTGTAGTTAATATCCCACCATTTAAGGGAGCTTTAGGAATTCCACAAGATATTGCTGAGTAAAGAGAAAGACATAGTTATTTTATATCTTCTTCACTATAAACTTCCACTCATCTCAAAGAGTTTATGCATTGTAATATCAACAGTCTTAAATTCATAAAAATGACTTTTTAACTCCTTAATGTGTATTTTAAGCCTAAAAATAAATTCCCTTAAAATTTTAGGGAATTAAGTCTCAGGAAGTTTTTGTCTTTTGATGGAGGAGGTTAAAAAGAAGAACAATGGTTCACAACTCTGCAGCTATCCATCCAAAATGCAGAAGATGATAATCAAAGAAGAGGCAATAGAGAATATCTGGGAAAAATACGATCAGCATGGTTGAATGAGTAAAGCACCAGTCTCAGACATTAGGATCTAGGTTGTACTTCAGGTTTCTTCCATCAGATGTACTGTGTGACCTCCGGCAAAGCACTAAAATTAACTTTCAACATTCTATTTTTCCTCCTGCAAAGCAGAAAGAAAATACCCTTTTGAAAATATTGAAAATTGGCAAATGAAAGTGTAAGCCACTTTTTTTTTTTTTTTTTTTTTTTTTTTTTTTTTTTTTTTTTTTTTTTTTTTAATTATTCAGCAGAAAGAAAGTACCAAGAGAAGATCTGGCTCTAAATAATGCTCTGTCTGTTTTGGGAATATGACCAAGTTGGTGTTTATTATATCTCAAATTCCTCAATAGTTTGGATTGCAGCAGCAAGATTAGGCAGAGCTATCTGTGCAAAGGGGAGGATAATCAAAAGCTGGTATAACCAAGGTATAATCAAATAACACTGTTTACTGCATAACTGGCCAAGCTAACCTCTTCCTTCAAAACCACATGTTAACAATAAAAAGAAGTTTCAGACAATAACAGAGTTGCCAGAAGGGCCAGCATTCAGCAGGGTGTAAAAACTAGTATCAACCCCCAAAAGACTTGTAACGTTAACAGCTGTTGCTTACGATCCTGAGCACCAACAAATACTACAGCACTACTTGTTCACATACTGAAAATTCTGTCTTTTAGCAATCAGCAAAATATGCATCAGATATTTTGTAGATACAACCTGAGATGTTTTATATCTACCATTGAGATTAATTACTCCTTCAGTATTCAAAAATCTCCATTAGTGACTTAATAAATTTTGAGTCATATTATTGATGTTAACAGAATCAATCTTGTGGCACAACAAAAATATATCCTACCCTTAACCTTAAATTTTTAAGAAACAAGTTTCATTCCAGCACACCAAATGCTTGATAACAGCCTTTTATATAAACAACAGAGCTCCCAAGGAATCACTCAATGACATTTTTAGTTTATAGCAGTTATGAGCTGAATTTTACATATGTGGAAACTCGCACAGAAATTTAGCTTTTAGTTAAGGGAAAAAATGTGAAAAGATCAAGACAAGTTATTGCCACATCTGACAACTTGACAGGATAAAAATGACAAATATGGAACATCCAAAGTGCCCAAAAACCAGGTCTATCACAGAAATGTTTGGTCATTATATGTCAGCTTGGACAGTATTGCCAATCAACATTGTAATTGTAATTGCAACTGAAACATTAAAATCTATTCTTTGTTCAAAAACTTCAGAACACAGTTCCAATTCCAAAGATATACACATACAGCCCTTGGAAGACTTTAATTTTATTAGTTCTCAAAGACCACCAGTCTAAAGACTTATCTGAAATTTTAGAAATTATTATTAGACCAGGATGAAGTTCTTAAATACTCTTCATTAAATGTTAAGGCACCATTCAAAGTTTCTGTGATGACAATTTCCCAAACAAGAATCAGACTATTCATCCTATAAAGGACCTCCAATCCTTGGATTTGCTCTGCCTCACTTAAGAACAACAACACTTAGCAGATGTAGCTACCTTTCACATCTCAGGGATATGAGAAAAAAATTGAGTATCAATGCAGACATCAGTCTAGAGCTGATAACATTTACCAGGAGCATTTCAAACATAGGCAAGACTACTGAAAATATTCAGTGACATACTCCTCTAAACTTAACTACTTGGACATTTAACTTGTGAAGAATTAAGAAATTTTATGAAAACTAAATTTCATTTAGATTGCCTTACAAATCACTTTAAAGGATGCCAACTACGTTTTTGGCATTTAATAAGTTATTGAGTTTTCACACCTGTCCCGATACAGTCAAGCATTTGAAAATAGACAGAAGTCTATTTTGAATAAATACAAGACTTATACATAGATATATTAATTGTTCTAATGTATATGAATATGACTATCTCAAACCTATAGCCATGTCTAAAAAAATGTAAAGGTAGAAGATATTATGCACATCAGATATTTGTTCCAGACCACTACAAATGTACTTCAGCCTCATTTTTGAGAAAATCATAACTCATCAGGTATCATATGTAACCAGGTATTCTTGATATTCTCTTTTTTTTGTAATGCTTTACTATAATCTGCATAACAATCACCAGTTATGCAACACTTATGTCTGCTGTTACGGACAATTTAGATTACTGAGCTAGAGAATTCTTCTGGATATAGTGCTATGTTTTAAATTTTACTTACTTAACATCTCTACCTAGAATTCCTGTAAAAGCATTTGCCTGTTATCCATATATGCTATTATAAAATATTAATACTGGTTTCTGATGAGGCCTGTGTGAGAAATGTTTATTTGCAAGAGAAATATTGCATAATTAAAACCAAGAATCATGTAATGTTGGGATAAAAAATTAAAAAGTAAAAAAAATAACTGGGAGAAAAATGAATGTTTTAAAACACTTTGAATCTTCTGATATCTACGATCAGTTGTAAATATTCAATCATTTATATGAATTCATGTTAATTCTTGTATTCAGATAGATCATTGTAAATCTATTCATTCATTAAAAAGTTTATCATAATCAGACCTCATAATTTAGTTAACCATGGGAATCTTTTATTGACTTGTGATCAGAGGCTTAATATCATTAAAACTGAGATGGATACATGAATGACAACACTCACATTTTGATTCATTTAATGTATGTCTATATAAACAGAACAGTTAATATCTAAAAGTTAGAACAGCAGAAGTTTGTAATTAATTTGTACTGTTGTTACCATTATACTAATACAATATTAGATTTTGAAGCAGTATCCTTTTACTTCTTTTCATGAAAGAGGTTGATTAAAACTGAGATGGATACATGAATGACAACACTCACATTTTGATTCATTTAATGTATGTCTATATAAACAGAACAGTTAATATCTAAAAGTTAGAACAGCAGAAGTTTGTAATTAATTTGTACTGTTGTTACCATTATACTAATACAATATTAGATTTTGAAGCAGTATCCTTTTACTTCTTTTCATGAAAGAGGAAGGGTGCTTTTATATTAACTTTGAAACAGGTTTCAGGTAATTGCTGAAGTCTGGCTTGAGGCATTTCTTTTTGATTCCTTACTGCTGCATTGAGTGTCTTCTAATGAGATATGTTTAGTTTTATAAATAATGTAAAAAAGCTTTCATCCAAGGTTAAAGTGTGTATCTGGATTTTTCAGGTTCTGTCAGTCCTGTAGTGCAAGTGATTTGAAGAATGGCTGGTATTATCTATTTAGAAGTTCAGAGATCAAGATTTCTATTCATATAGGTGTAAGAATGAGAACATTAAAAATTGCTCTAACATTACTCATGAACTTGGAAAAAGAAGCTGTAGTGGAAAAGGCTACTGGCATTCATTGGTTACAGGAGAGGATTCAGAAGTGATAATAATGGTACAGATATAAAATGAAAAATGTAAAGAGAAAGCATTAGTTTAAGTACAGTCATGAAACATTTTGCAGGCAGTAAAAAATGTTTGCCAAGAAATGGACTTAGTATTGCTAAAAAAAAGAACAAACTACCACAAATCACTAGCTGTGCTGATTGTAGAGGTATCATTAAAGAATTCATAAATTTAGAGGCCTTAGATTTCTCATTTCCTATAGGATAATGCCAGTAACTACTACTGTGATTTGACTGGTAATCTTCATTTAGGGCACAGAAAACAAATAGATGAAAATGAGATGCATTGTTTCTAAAGAAATTGCAAATATCCCTTGCACTGCTATGTAAAAAAAAAAAGCCTAATACTTTTTTTTGCTGTGTTAAATGGTCATCTGTGGCAATCCTACATTCAGATGTGTGAAAGAACTGATAAAAATGGCTTTGCTAGTAATGCTATAAATGACAGAGAATGTGAAGTAGAAGGTAAGACTGTGACATTGTCATTTGATATCATCTGGCATAATAGTTGGTAAATTCTGACTGACAATTATAGTAGTTGTTAAAACAATGTTCATCCTCTATAACATGAAGTTCTAAAAACCACTAGCCCATACTTAAAAGAATTAGAACTACTTTGTGGTGAAGCTGTACTGCTCAGTAGTAGGGGGAATGGCAAAGCCCTTGTGTCTTGTAAATATCCTCTGTGAAAGAACATGAGAGATATTGATGGTGTTCTCAACCTTTTGATACAAGAGATCATATCATAAATCTTCTGTATTATCCAGGTATAGGGGATAATTTTCACCTCCGCAAAACAACAGGAAGCTTAGATGTATGACATATGTACGGAAGCAGCTTATTCCTGTGGGTTTTTGCAGTAATAATGTGTCTTTAGGTTGAATCTGAAGAATTTGCTGTTGTGAGTTGCAGCTACATATCATGGCCACAAACCACTTTCTGTGCACAAGGACTTGCTGGAATTGAATAAAGTTCATACCATGTATCAAAGTTAGCTCTCATTAAATGCATAATTAAAACTAACTGTTATTCAATTAATACATACATTAAATAATTTTCAATACACTAACAGTTGGTACCAACAGTCTTTGTACTTGATCAGATACCATCAGATTACTAAGCCCTTAACTCCACTTGTTCCTAAAGTATTATCTGAGTATTGCAACTATTTCCATTACTGAACTCTGCTCAGTATGTTGAGAATAATTACCTGCTATTTGAATTTGGTAAGTTGTTTGTTTAGGGTTTTTTTCATTCCACGTTATTTGATACATCTTATTAACAGTCTGATCAAGTTCTACAAATAACTGTCATGAAAGCAGTCCTTAGATAACTGATGAAAGAGCTAAAGAATGATATGTAGCAAATGCACTGCCTGTACTTTTTTTCTTTTTGAACATTTTAAGTTTTTAAAAATACAGGCACACTTTTTATATATTAATAGAGAAATTTATAAAAGCTTTGAAACTGAGATTGTTTCATCTTTGACAAAGGTTAGGCAGTTTTGCTTTAGATTTATACAGTTCAAAGAATTTTTGTCAAAAAAACCTCATGGGAAATTAACATGGAACATTCCTACAGCATTTATCTCCACTGGTCAACAGGAACAAAATGCACATATTTTGAATAAATATATCTGCAACTTCTCATGAAAAAAAAAATTCTAATAGAGATTGTTTCATCTTTGACAAAGGTTAGGCAGTTTTGCTTTAGATTTATACAGTTCAAAGAATTTTTGTCAAAAAAACCTCATGGGAAATTAACATGGAACATTCCTACAGCATTTATCTCCACTGGTCAACAGGAACAAAATGCACATATTTTGAATAAATATATCTGCAACTTCTCATGAAAAAAAAAATTCTAATAGTTCATTGGAGTGACATAGGTAAGTTATCAGAACAATAGCATTCTTCTCAGGAAAGGAAGAATTAGAATACAGTTACGATGGGTAATAAATAACCATTTCCTTTTCCTTGTTAAGTAGAATATGTTTTGATTTTATAAGGCAGAAGAAACTAAATTAAATTAAACAGTTAACCCAATGAATTATCTTTTAAATTTCAATTTGAACTGCAAAAGATTAGAATGGCATCATAGGCAATGCTTTTTTGGTCCAGTTTCCTGGTTTTTATATAGTTCTTGGATCATGATAAATGAACTTTATTAAATATTCAGTTTTAAATTAACTTTTTGAAAAATTTCATACTTTAAATTTGTGGGGTTTTTTCCCTCACAGTGATGTAGATTTTTTGTAGTATCTGCCAGTCTTAGCAAATTCTGTTGAAATAGTTTCTTAAAAATAAATTTGTTTTGTAAGTTTTACTAAGTAGAAAAATTTTGGTACAGAGGCATGACCATTAAATGATTACCTGTTATTCATTTTAAGTTAGAAAACTGATGGCTTATATTAGAAAAAGAAAAAAAAGAGTTTCTTAAGGTGTATTATTTTATAATGAAAGAATTTACCTTGACAAGCTGGGACTGGAACATCCCATGAGTAATAACCATATGGAGACTTCCTGCATACAGCAGTACTTTTCCCAATGAGCCGAAAACCTCGATCGCAAGCCCAGCGAACCATACTGTTGAGCTGTCCACCTGTCTGACTGACGATGAAACCATGTGGAGGGGACTCTGGAGTACTACAGTAGAGAGCTTTAAACATAAATATTGAATAAATAACAGATGCATTTAGAATCCAGATGACAATTCTTGACAAATTCTTGTTAAATTCAGCGGACATCTGATAACAAGCTGAGAAAACATCACTAAAAGTTGTTGTATTTTGTATCATGATCATGCACGCATCAAGCAATTTCACTAAGTATAAAGGTAAAAGAATAGGGCTCTATAAGGACTTCAGGTTTTAGTAGCCTCTGTCCTGGTTTCGGCAGAGATAGAGTTAATTTCCTTTCTAGTAGCTGGTACAGTGTTTTGGATTTGGGATGAGAACAAAGTTGATAACACAGGGATGTTTTAGTTGTTGCTAGGTAATGCTTACACTAGCCAAGGACTTTTCAGCTTCCCATGCTCTACTGACTGAGAAGGCTGGAGGTGCACAAGAAGCTGGGAGGGGGCACAGCCAAACTGGCCAAAGGGACATTCCATACCATGTGACGTCATGCTCAGTACATAAACTGGGGAAAGCTGGCCGGGGGGGCC